GAGAACACAATTTAAGGCTGTTGCAAACAGTTCCAACTACTCTCTACGCAGCTGCCTCTACGCGCTCTCTCTCCCTATGCATCACTACCTGGTTGCTGATTACGAAGTTAGAACTGCAGTAGGATGTTGGTCTAACGGACAATCCTTTATTTCCGCCGTGGCGCATAAGGAACTCCCATTAGACTTCAGATCTTAACTGTCACTTTCATACCCACTTCTTCGCCCGCTTTCGGGGCAAGACGGCAGTGAGGTCAGCCTGCCACTCGGCATTATTCCAAATAAAAACCCATCTATACTAGCTAGTTCTAAACATCGATAGGAAGTCATTGCAATTCCTACAGATCTATACTGTACATGATTCCAACCCACTATTCCCTGGGAGTAGCCTAAACTGGGGAATCGCCGAATGGTCGCTTCGGACTACCTCCTCAAATCCATTACAATACTTCTCCACCATATTCTGATTTTGGCCTATACTCTAAAATGAGATTCCATTTAACTGAACACTTCACAGAATCCAAAACATCATTTCTACGAAGGTAGAAATCCTGCTCGTAGCTGGGAACAATGTTTCATCTCTCGCCTTAGGTCTATGTTAGCCGTTAGTGTGCGGAAGCTAGTTGGGCCATCCTGCTCTCCGAAGCCCAACAGTGACTTCCTGCTGGGATAACATCCGTAATATTCACTTGGTCACAGCCGATGTTGTGCTACATTTGGACTTTGATAAGATTAGAGGAAAACTGGAAAAAGTCGTCTCTCACTTGGGAATGTCGGGGGCGGACAGTCCTAACCCCCACGCTTAATAATTAATCCTGAGGAGGGCCAATTTTCTTGTGAAGATACTTTTTCGTGAATGGTCATTCTTCTTACGCTTTCTCGACTCCAACAACGCCAGGAACATTCGATGCTATTGCTTCCGTAGAGACTGAATTACTAAGAAACAATTTCAATCGATCCGTTAAGGGTTCGAAAAAAGCGAAAAACTGCTTCCTTTGCATATGAATTCATTTTGAAATTACACATTGCTCAATGGTTTAACTAAAATTAACAAAAACAAGTAAACATTGAAGAGTAGGAATCATAATGATAAGGGAAACAAAAAGTTTCCAAACTTTTGACGCGCCATTTCTTGAAAGAAATCTTATTTCTCAAAAATGATTATACATTTTCGGATTTTAGTCTTTCTGCCATATTCTAGACTTGATTTTGTATGTAATATCTAAATTTGAGATAATTTCGTTATATCATACGCGCTAGATCAAAAATAAAAAAGTTTCCAAAACTTTTCGACCGCCTACTGTACTGGAGCAGCTTTGCCTCGCTACACTCATACCCCGCCAGCTCGTTATGGTGGCTATCTACACCCTCGGCTCACGCAACATCCATGGGCCTCGCACTGAAACCCGCAAAAGCCACTCCTGCCCAGGTCGCGAATAATGTTCGAGGAACCTCCATCACAGCCTCTAACCCATGCGAACGTATGTGGCCGTAGAGTGAACATCCCGCGCGGCAGCAACAGCAAATGCGAGTGTAACATGTCAGCGGCGAAGAGATCGTCTCTGATCGGCAAGAACCCGGACCTTCCGTGAGGAATCCTCAAGCAATATTCCACCTGGTCCTCCCCCCCCCCCCCCATACCCGGCTTAGTATCGACTTTCGTGACATACCGAGACCTAGTACATGAACATAGCGCGCATAGCCAACCGAGTACAAACATTTTGCGCCTACCGTATTCAAAAAATCGATGCCCCCACCTGACTAACATGAAGCATTATCGACTGAAGAACCGTCGTATTGCACCGACGATCTGTCATAGGTCGGGATCATCGCCAAATTTTTAGATCGGTAGGTGTGCATCAATTTCAGCGGAATCGGCGAACCGCCAAGTCGCACGCAGACCATGAACGGAGCCAAAACTGAAGTAGCCGCCTTGCATCCGCATGCGTCAAAAACTGACGATTTACGGCGAAAGATAAATTCTAATTTTTTGGTTTCCAGTCAATGTGTGCTGTATCCATCACGACGAATGCTATTCATCCTGTGCACTGTCGCAACTGTCCTGCGATGCAACGTTCTGCAACTGCATCGCCGCTCTCGACGCAAGCATCTACTGCAGAAATGTGGTCTACGCATGGCATTGCAACGCTGTTCAGTGGTTAGGGGATCGCTTCATCTGTCCACCTATGGGTCAACCACTCTTTGGTGGCTAATATCTATGGATTGCTCACGTACTGGTTGACTAGCACTTCTTTCCAATAGTCTGTCCACAGCTGCGCTCATTCCAGCTCAGAAAATTGCTCACCAGCGCTGCGCAGAGTTATAGGCTTACCGTAGCCTTGGGCTTAATTCTATCAGCTTAGCTGATGATTAGCCATTAGGTATTGATTCAAATATGTTAAAACCAGGGATCATCGAGCACTCAGAGCCAGGGTCAACCGTCACGTTCGCACTTTTTCAAAAATTTTGCGACCCCCCCTCCCTTTAGGGGGTCTCGATGCGACCCCCCCACCACCACCATCAGTCTAGAAGGCTCCCCCAATACGACCACCTTCCCCCTTCTCCGACCACCACCCTCACCATCATGGCTGTTTCCAAGTATTTGTACTGACGATGTGCAGTCGACACAATCTCAGACCCGCTCATTTCTGCTTCCCCAAAACGGCCCGTCGAATGAGCGGGGGAGGGGGAGGGGTGGGGGCAAAGTCATGAAGCGGCAAATTCACCAATTTTGCCTATACTTCGTAAAATAAACCCGTTTCAAACAGCAACCTCCTTGACTGCAAACTCGTCAACCTCTGCACTCACCACAAGATTAGCTTGCTCAAGTCCAAAATTACGGCCCTCGCTACGACGTAAGCAAACCAGCCCTTTTGGCACATCGGCTGGGACCGTATGCTGAATGTTGGGGAGGGGATGGGGTCCCCAACGGTCGACGGTTTACTTCAACTCGGTTGGTACGATAGGAGAGTACTGACGCAAGTGGTGCAGCTGGTCCAGTAGCTTCGCCAGAAGGACCGGTCTGCTCACCCTTGGACTAAGCCTAGGAGAGGGGACGGACCCGTCCTCTCTTTAAGGCTTAGTTCTAAGGTAAGCGCCAAATTGTGGCGGTTCTAAGGACCGCGTTGAAGTTGTCCGTCCACCGTCGGGGGACACCATCCCCTCCCCAACATTCAGCATACCGGTCCCAGCGACATGTGCCAAAGGCTGATCTGTTCGTCGTCGCTGACTACAGCAGCTGTGGAAATCTGAAAGCCACGGCCTTCTGAGGTATTTCGCGCAACTAAGTCTATTCGTCAATAAATCGACGCAATCTTTAACGTAACTATGTCCACTTTGAGTTCATCCACGATCCCTCTCAGCTTGTCTACAGCACTTCAGCTGAAAGCTCAACTGATGTATTCCGTCCGAAACTCAGTGACGACCCTTCCCCCTTTACAAATACGGCCAGGAACCATCTTTTCTTTCAGAATCAAGAGCACCGGTATTTACAAAATATAAATTTTATGTTTATTATAATTGTACAGGTACAAATAAAGAATTTATAAGTTGTTGATCATTGTATTAGTCAGGCAGGTGCGGGCCAGTTGGCGGCTCCTTCACATATTACGTGTCGCGCTGTAGTGCTAAGGATATAAGCCTGGTGAGCGGTCTGTCTCCACGATCTAGAGGCGTACCAGCTGAACGCGCCAGTAACGCTTCATAAAATGGGCGACACACGATTTTTTTCTAGTCGATGCATTCGGCTCAGGGTAAATTTTCGCGCTAAACTACTACTAACACTAATTCACAAAACTTCACGACTTCTTGTGAGGAGGTATCGATACAGCTCCGCATAACCACCACACTTGAAGAGGCCTACAAAGGGAGGAGGGACTTTGTCCCCGGGCACAGCTTGTTTTCAGACGATGGAACGGACAGCTTAAAGCAACAGTTCCAGCAGAGCTTTTACCTTCCAACACTAATGGTGTGGAACGATGCGCTAGCCCTAGTCAAGAACATAGGAAGTGTGACTGAACAACCAGAATCGGCCGTTTCCAACCACGCCCACTTCGAAGCCGTTCAGCTCCCTTTCTAGCGGCTTTCCAAGGTGAGTTTTTTGTTCAGTCACACTTCTTATGTTCTTGACTAGGGCTAGCGCATCGTTCCACACCATTAGTGTCGAAGGTAAAAACCCTGCTGGGACTGTTGCTTTAAGAGCCGAGTAATTGCGTTGGAGCCCGCCTGCTCGCACAATGCTCTCCTTTTCAGGAAAACTAAATAGAGATTTATAACAAAAAATTACTCATAACTAATAACATTTGATTTTGTTGACTACATATATGACTATGTCTAAACTGTCTATGACTTACTAATTATGACTTTATTGGAGTCTGGTCCAAATGCATGAGAATACAACGTACAACAAAAATTGGCATCAAGTCCGTAACAAGCTCAACGTCAATTATGACTGGCGAAAATGTTGAAATTTCCCAATTGAAAAGGGTTACCCTGAATTTGATGAAACATAAAAGAAACCAGATCCAGGGCTCTTACAGCAAATATGAGGAAAAAAACAAAGCAGCGAGTTAACCATAAAAAGTATGACACAACTATACCCGAGAACGTTACGATTCTTTCTAATAGCTTTTCCGGTAATTACACTCTTAAAAATGACTCACTTTACCCCGGTAGCTATGAGGCCGAGCCACTGAACAGATGAAGTGCAGGCAAGTGCGTACCGTCGTCTTAGAAGTTCTCATATTAAAACACAAAGCAAAAATGAAAAAGGCCATAAGGCTTACACCAGAACTCGTAATGTGAAATGGCCGTTTCGTAACTGGCCGTATTTCAGATAGGCTACTAATACTCTAGTAAAATCCTTGAAAAAAGGCCTACACAACGCCACCGTGTCAATATTATAGCTAATATTATAATAATTACCAGAAAAAGCTTACAGGAAAAAACATCAACATGATTTCCACAACTTATGTCTTCTCGAGACTACCACCCAAGGCAATCATTCACACATTTCTCAAACAGTTCCGCCTCTTTGGTTGAAAGATGGCAGGTGGCTTAGGCAGTACTAGCTTCTTGTTGCTGTGCCTATCCTCTTCCGCTACTGGCTCACTCTGCTTGTTTTCTTGCACTCTCCGATCCACAGATTTCGTCCCTTCAGAGCCAGACTTCTTCGTTTTGACACCGCTATTCACTCGCATATAATACTCAGCGCAGTCCACGTGGTCCACTGGTCCTTCGAGAGGCTCCCAGACGTTATTGTCAGGCGGCGTCAATTCACGAGTACAGGCAGGTGTCTCAGAAGGCATTTCTGTAGATTCGACCGTCAGTGGAAGTGTCATATCAGCACTTTTCCTCGACAACACACAGTGATAATGGTCACCTCCACGACAGAGCGGATAGTCACATTCAGTAAGGGGAGGAGTCGGTGACATGAGGGCGGAGCGTTCCAACTCATCGACCCATTTCTCTCGACGTTGCCCCTGCAGAAGTTCATTGAAAACGCGAGCAGCATCTTGTGGATGCATTCGTTGCAAAGCTTGTCTCACATTTCACCGGCATCGGAATATTCTGCGGAGGCTGCATAACGGGCTGCTGCATCACTGGCTGTTGCGCAGGATACTGATATGGTTGTTGAAGTGGAGCAGCTTGGACCGGCTGCTGAGGACGATTCATTTGACGAGGTTGAGGAGGACCTTGTCTGGGAATGTTACCACCAGACGCTAAACCCAGCATTTCATTTCTCTGTTGTAATGCTTGCAAGTAGGCGGGAAGCTTCGTCAGCGGTCCAACATTGGGCTTGATATTCGGCATTGGGCCCACTATGCCCAGATAATTTCGATATCTGTTATAGGTCGTGAGCTCAGGCTGAACGCAGCCTCGGTCCTCAGTGATCAGCGGTTGTGGCCGTCCAACAAAATGCCTCGCTGGACGTTCCATAGCAGCCGTCGCCTCAGCAATAGCAGCGGGTCCCAATTTTGGCCGTAAGTCCTTCGCCTCTAGAGTCATCTTATGTGAGTAGTACGTTTGAGGTTCTCGTGTATCTTTCGGCTTCATTTTGCGAATGTCTTCAAGAAATCGAGCTTCATCGATAACAGGTTTACGTGGTCGAGTCACCAATTTACTTGTTTGCGAGGATTGAGTGGTACCAGCTGTTGGACGGGAACATGGAGAGGCTTCAACATCTGGCTTTGCCTTTAGCTGAGAAAATCTTCAACGTCGTACGAGGAACCTGAACATTCATTCCTGATTGTAGCTGACGAGGCTGAAGGTGAACCACACCAAAAAAACCCTGGTAATAAACTAACCACTCTAGCCGGGAAAAACGAGACGGCCTTCACAGAATTCAACGCATCGTTTTCATTTATACGATAAGCTCCTCGCTGTTTGGTTTCCAAACAGATGACATCGATTAACTGGAAACACAATCATGTGATGTATTCAGCCACGTCAAGCAAAGCCAATTCCACTAGAGTCTTCCATCTAAAATGATACTTTTGCCTTACCAAGGAAGGTCGCTCAGAAGGCCAAGCTTTTTCAAAATGGTTTCTTGCATGACATTGGGGCACATATGGGGACCACAGAAGCATGGTTCATTTTTCCTGAACGGCCCTCTGAATACCAGAAAAGGGGTCCCTAGTTCGATTCCTCGTGGTGACAAATTTTTGCATTTCGAGTTGACGTTTCAAAATTCGCGCAAAATGGAGTTAGCATGAATAATTAGTACCATATTCATGATTAGGACCGTCAGTAACCCTTACAAATAGACTTTGATTGAAAAACTGGTGAAAAAGTGTGACTAGGGGACCCCCTTTCTGGTATTCAGAGCCGTTCAGGAAAAATTAAACCATGGTTTTGTGTTCCCGCATGTGCCCCTATATCATGCAAAAGACCGTTATGAAAAAGCTTGGTACACCCTGAACGACCTCCCTTGTAAGCCCAAAGAAAGAGTAAGGGCATCGGGAGCACGAAAGGAACGAGCAACCTTACCCTTGTACGGGGGCTTTGCATTTCAGGAAAGTGCTTCACGATATTTCATGGTTAGAGGATTGTTGAATTGTAATTAGGAAAAATTGCGATATTCCAAAGTAATGCAGCCGCCTCCCTCCCCTTTTGAAATACACCACAAACTCCTGCTACCAAGAAAATTACAAAACTTTTCTGTGCAGAACCCTCATTAACAAGGTTCAACTTAGTATAGTATTAGTTGGTTCGCGAGCTCCTAATTGAAAGAACTTTATACGGTACGTTTCCGGCGCACTGTCGCCTTCTCCGGAGCCTTTACAAAAGCCAGAGCTGTGAATGGACCTTAACGCCATGGCGGACCGCGTGACTGCACATGGGGCAACACGCAACCACACGAGAAGACAGTACCGATTTTTTTATCAGCATTAAAGTGAAACTCCTGGAGTTAGTTTTCTGGACGCGGATATATCACTTATTTGGCATACTGTAAATTGCCTAGCTCATCGCCCACTGGATTAAACAAACGACAAAAACTGCGGTGCAGCCGATAACGCGGTCCCGCAATGGGTTTAATCATGCCGAATTAAGAAGTCCGTCGTCATGAATATTCTGGATAAGGTTCAACTTTTTTACAGCACCCAACAATCCAGAAAAGAAGACCTTTTGCAGAATTCACGAAGAAAAATTAAAATAGCTTTTAAAAGAGCATGAAAAGGTCGGAACATAAATGGCTAGCGATAAGCCAAGTGTTGGTAAATGAACCATGGGAAATGGAATTAGCGAGGTGCTAAGCTAGACAGCGAAAAAAAAAAGTAATACAAGGCTACGAACCGCATCCAGAAGATCGTCCGAATATGATGCCATGGCCTCTTCAGCTTCCGGACTCAGCTCGAGGCCACTCACGACCTTGCAAAGGTCGACCATGCTAGGTAGTGCAACGTGGTAAGTTCGCAACACCAAAGGATACTAATTATGACTAAAACAACACCTCATGTGATTATCAGCTCACCGTGCAGCAATTTCACCTGGCCTCTCATCTGAAGATGAAAACTGGGAGCTGAGTGACCTCATGCCGGGCACCTCGCTGCAAGCATTTGATCAGAGAAATCGAAAACCCAATAACAAGGAGATGAGAATTTTGCCTCAGCCCAAAGAAAGTTGAAGGAGTCCGGGGAGCAATAACGAACTCCCTTGTAGGAGGGGTTTCGCATTTCAGAAGTGCTTCTCCCATTCCGGAAACCCACCTCGTCAAAAATCTCATACTGCGCGACGTTTCTGCCCGTTATGTAGCCACAGTTCCGTTCGACACGAAAAAAAAACCCAAGGAATAGAGCTCACGGTATTTCAAGGTTTTTGAAAATTCTTGTGCACAATTTGACATAACTACAGTAACCCGAAGTTACTCAGTCTCCTCCTTTCTCCTTTCTTTTTTTTTTTTTTTTTTTTTTTTTTTTTTTTTTTTTTTTTTTTTTTTTTTTTTTTTTTTTTTTTTTTTTTTTTTTTTTTTTTTTTTTTTTTTTTTTTTTTTTTTTTTTGGAAACCAAACTACAGCTTACTGCAGAAAACTACGGAAGTTTTCTACCGACAGACTGCTGTATTATTACGATTCAACATTTTCACGGAACGAGTCAAAAAAGAAGTCGCATTTCTTATACTTAACAAAGAAAAATTGTAGTAGCTTTTGAAAAAAGCATGAAAGGGCAAAACATAAAATGGCTAGGATCAGCAAGTGTTGGTAAATGAACCATGCGAAATGAATTCGCGCTAGTCTTGACAGCAAAAAAAGTAATAAAAAGGCTACGAACCGCATCCAGAAGATCGTCCGAATATGATGCCATGGCCTCTTCAGCTTCCGGACTTAGCTCGAGGCCACCACCCGACCTTGCAGAGGTCGACCATGGCTAGGTAGTGCACGTGGTAGTTCTGCAACACTATAAGGGATATTTAATTGACGCTTTCAGAAAGGGTATTATGCGAATAGAATAGTCAAGAAAATACGCCATCTCATCTAGTAAGAGGGAAAATAACGGTGCGCAGTCTGGTCTAATACCAATTCGGACAGAGTCCTTTGAAAATACAAACTGAACTGATCACGCATCTCTTCTTACGGTCCAGTCTCAGAATTTCTGTACTTATACGTGTTCTTGTGCTGGCAGCGACTCCCATCTGAAAGTGAGATTCATCTTACTGAGGGCAGCCCACTAGGAGGCGGGAGGAACTTCCTGGGCAACGAAGACTGTTTCACACAGCACACCGGATCCCCCGTCCGCTAAAAGGCCTAAATGAAAAGATCACGATAATTCTCATAGGGACGATAAGGATCGCTTCCTTCAAAGGTTACTGTAGAAAAATGCGAAAATGCTCCGTTGTTTTCCAACGCGTTAAGCGCTTTAAACCACAATGCCAAATTTTCACTGGATAAGACCCCATAAAAAAAAAACAAGAGAACACATAGAAATAGGAACGAAGAAGGAAGCTTACTGTTAGTTCATACAGTTTCACAGGGAAAAAAGAATTGGATGAGTACCAGCGTTACGAGGACACGTACTATGAAGAGCTCCACCCCCTAATTATGAGCGGAACCGATTGCTTTTACCTCTGGAACAAAAACAGGGGAAAGTGAAAAAGGAGTGTTCAAAAGAGGCGATTTTAATAATCACCTACATCTATTACCTTATCGCAAAACAGCGGAAAATCGCACTGATGATGTTTGCAGGGACTTCGCACACCACAATACACATTTGCAGTTCAGCTTCCCACATCGATTTTTAGACAATTTTCATTGCAAACAAACTTTTTACTTCGTCGAAATAACGGTGCGCGCTGTTCCTCATCTAATCAGTAATGGAACACTATCAATTATTACACCGCTATAACCACTGAAAGAAATAGATCAATTGACAAATTATCCTGGAATACAGTTCCACAGCGACCTACTGCCACACACGGTCCTTAGCGCAGCCTCTACATAGCACGACTGGCGGAAGGTACAGACATCAGCGAAATCAAGGAACGGCGCCTGGCTCGCTCTAAGGCTGCTTTCATAGTTCGCATCGGTGCGGTCGGTGCCGACGGCGCCGTCGGCACCGACCGCACCGATGCGAACAATGAAAAAGCAAGCCTAAGGCTGATGTCAGAGCTCCTGCGATCCCCGTCGCAGGTTTCGCGCAAATCGCGAAAATCGTGAAAATCGCGAAAATCAGCAAAACCTGCAACGGATCGCGGACTCTGACACCAGCCTAACGAAAAATAAATAGGAGTATCCAGTTTGGAGCGCATCCCAGCAGGTAGGTGGGACGCCATAGGAACTGAGCCATTGTACGGAGGGAGGGATTCGAGTGTTCAGGAACATAGGGAACGCGCGGATAAATTTTGGAACGATTCCGTCGACGTAAAATAAAAGTTCTGTCCGCAAGTGCACCACGGGCATCTTATCTCACAGTCGAACATGCGCAGGCTCTTCAAAACTCTGTTCAGTGTCATTTTTACGGCGATAACACACTAAAGAATCCAGTAAAATACCAGGAAGCGCAATGCGGCTCGGAGGGGACTACCATGTAACATCGCGTCAAGATCACGGAGAGGCGCAGTTTCAGGACTAAGCCATCGAATAGGGGAGGCACTCTGGTGAGCAGAAGCACTTTTCGTACTCTCTGGAGTTCGTCCCTGCTGCCTAGGCTTAGCCCTAGAGGTTTTCAGATTGTCCCTCTCCCTCGAGCCTCATTGCGCTTACTAGGAAAACTCTCTCCTCGGATGAAAGCACACCCCGCAATCAAGTGCCTTTCTAAGGATCTAAGTAAAACGGCAGCTTGACTCTCCCGGGTTTTGACAGATTCTGAACCGATCCTACACCTTTTGCTTGTTTGGACAAATTCACTTAATCATTGAGAGGAATTCTGAAGCAGGAATTGGGAGGACGGAAGAACGAACGACAGCAACCAATGAAATGTGCAAAAAATTATTTTTCACGCTATGTAAACAAGGCTTTTAAAAAACACTTTCATCTGTGGCCACTAAAAACTCGTGTAGATTACTGACGATTAATACTTGTTACTCCTCCTAATTGAAGGAACATGTATTTTTTTAATGTTGTTGGCAAAACGACGCCGCTGACTAGTAGCGGAATGAAAGAAAACAACCGTGACACACTCTGAAGCTTGGCAGTTTAGAAAGGCAGAAGATTAACCTAATCTACAATCTCGCCGTATTCAACATCATCCTCATCAACCATTAACAAATCGCTGTCTGATCGTGAGACCACTAATGCTTCTTCTTCCTGTTCTTCAGACTGTTGTCAGACTTCTGCGATGATGTTGACAGTCTTTTGCTTTTAGCGCTCATACTGGTGAGCTAGGATGGCCAGATTTTCCGGACGACGTATTCGTGTACCGTCACCCCTACTGTAGTTTTTCCCGCTGATCTGGAAAAAATCATCAGGACAGTGTCAATCCAGGCGCAGGCTTGAGAAAGCGCGCGCGGCAGCAGGAAATTCGAGAGTCAGGGGGAAAGTAACCAATTCAGGGGGGGGGGGAGTCGAGGGTGAGGGCAGCCACTTAACATGCGTGAGAAGCTGGAGTGTTTGAGTTTACAATGCTTCGCTAAGACGCGGCGGCGCTCCCCCCCCCCCCGAGCCACATTGCGCCGTCGATCCATTGCATTCAATGGCACCGAAATCACACTACCATTGAACGACAACGGTTGAACAGAATTTTGAACAGCCTGCGCATGTTCCGCGTGAGATAGGACGCCCGTGGTGCACTTGCGGACAGAACGTTTATTTCACGTCGACGGAATCATTCCAAGATTTATCCGCGTTCCGAAGTGGACAGCAACAGTATCGTCAAAAAGTTTGAGATGCGTGGGCCACAATGACCATGAGCCGCCCGAATGGCAAGAGTGCGCAGGAGCATGCCGCATTGACAGGCCGAACGGTCATATTTCCGATCGATAGCGCACTCGCGCGCGAATCGCTTAATCCGAATCGCAAAGTATGACGTCGGCCTGAGGCGGCTTGAAGGGCCGAGTTCGAGTAGCCCGTCGACCATGAATGTCATCGAAATTCTGAGTAACTCCCCCTAAATAGAGTTTCCATTTTCTGAGAATGTGATGGCTTGCTGAACAGTGCCGGACATGCATTCAAAACAATCATTGATTAATGAAAATAAACAAATAAATATATAAATGATCAAGGTACTTTTGGAAACCTACATCTCACCTCTACCCATATAACTTAAGAATAGATTTTCGCACCAAATGTTTCCAAGTCATCGCTTGGTAGAGAGGGGGGGGAGGTGAGAGACTTGAAGACAGCCAGTGGTGCGTGTAACTCGGCATCGTTTGTTTATTTTTTCTCCATCCTCATTAATCTGCTGAAAGTTACCTTTCAAGTAATCCGTGTTTTCCGATGAGGTATGGCTACAGACATTCCAATCTGAGAAATGCGAAATAAATCGAACAAAACAAGCCTGAACTGTGGGAAACTTGACCGCATGCGCGTCGCTGTGGTTCATGGAGTTTAATAACTTATCGGTGTCCGGAAGTCGTGGCTGGGAACTATTGGACCACCCCGGTAATTCACAACTTGGCTCTATACAAGTGGGGTGGGCACGCCCAGCTTTTCACGCATGTCAAGTGACTGCCCTCACCCCCACCCCCTAGATTGGCTACACTCCCCCTGGCTCACGAATTCCCCGATTCTCGTGACAGTATAGTAGCGGGCAGCAGTCCCACTTACATACATTTCTGTTCAAAAAATGCGGCGTGCCCACCCTACTTGTATAGCACCCACAACTTTTAAAAAGGTTGGTGGCTTCATTGTTCCGTTTTAGTTTTAAAATGAAAATTAAACAGTCGTGTTGCAGAGAACAAATCAAGGAAGTCCCGACAGACAAAACCTATAACCAGCAGTTTGGTGACGAGTTCGAAACTCAATCTTCCTAAATATCCTCTAGGCAACTTTCGAAGGATATCGAGAAACTGAAGTCATTCAAAACACGAAGAAAATGAGCCGCAGAAGAGCTGCGCAAGTTCAAACTGCAGGCGGAGCAAGTAGGACGAGTTTTCCGAGCGGAACGGCTCTGACTGCGTTGCAGGGCCAAACATGTTTCAATTTCAGGCTTCCTTTAATAAAAGTACCAAACGTTTTATATTACTCGGTTGTAAATTACGCTTTAAGATGGAAGGGGTAGTTTTTATTTCCTTTTATGAGTCATTCTACATGAGTTGTTGGAGTTAGCCCCTGTCTTTGACGCCAATCAACTCGCTGGAGTTCGGTCCGTTTCGTAACAACTTTGTGTCTGAGTCATAGCAATTTCCAGACCATTAGTGGCGAAGATCCGCTGATGTTTTCGGTGTCTTCAAGCCAGTGATGTGGAATGAGTTATTCGAACACATTTCAAGGTTTGTTCTTACCTGTTTCTCTACGAATTTCCGTTTGTTTTTGGTTCTTTTTCTTACTGTTGTTTTTTTTTGAAGACTACCTGAGAGATATTCCGATGGAGATAGGTCGGAAGTTTTATCCTCCACCATTGATTAACATACCTACACTGACAAAACCTGAGCCGCTGAGGAATGTGCAGGTAAGCTTATCAGTGTGAATAATTTTTTTTTCATTTTCCCTTACCTCTCTAGGACATTTTCTACTCAAGATAGCCCAATTTTAGTACTTCATTGTAATACAAACAACAACCGGTATCAGGATATACTTAAAGATGTGATGCGCGAATGTGGAAATAATATTGAAGTGATTGATGATTGATGATGATGATGATAGATGATTGAAATAAGTGAGGAATTGGCGGCGCTATCGCAAGGCATTCTCCGGGACTAAGGCTAGGGAAGGACTGGAACATCGGGAAAATGAAAAATTTCTTACGTAATATTGAGAATCTCCTCCTTCGCTTAAAGCTGTGTTTGTTTTCAACAGAAAGGAGTTTTTCGAGGTGCGAGGTACATTGTCACCATAATGCCCCCTATCTTGCAAGAGTGGCGAAGTGGCCTCTTTTTACGGAGGACACATCTTTGTATAGTGGTATCAATTCTGGGTTGTTATAGATCTTCTCAGTCCGTTACGCCGCGTTCATAATTCGCAGCTTGTGAGATTAGGATAGTAGGTGATATAATATTAGGATAGTAGAGAGGATATTGCTGTTGAAAAGATTACATACGTATCGATTCGGGATCGCTGGAGAGTAGTAGATTGGCGTCTTCAGCTCGATCAATATGTATCAAATCAAGAACACCTAATCTTTCACCATCCTAATCTCCTTCTCTACTATTATCCTCCTATTCCGAAGTCGCGAACTATGAACGCGGCCTTAATTTTTTATTGTTTCCTCCGGCCGATGTAAGTTCGCATTGCTGTTTCGCGATCTCAGCCTGGGAAGAATCCATTACAAATGCGAACGCATGCCATTAATTGAAATGTTTTCGACGCTGAAACTGTGCCGAATTTCATTATCCACAATTCTGTTCCATTTGCCGTTATTCCTTTTTGGTTTTTGGGAATTATAGCTGTGCGGGGTTTTGAAGATGATTAGGAATAATGAAGAGGCATTTTTATGTGCGCCCTCTTTCCAATATTTTGCTTCTGCTACTAGATTATCTCGTGTTCCTACTCCTGAACATGCTGAAAAATTTTGTAAGTCTGAGAAACGATTTGCAAAATTTTGTCACAAATAGATCTCATTCTTTCAAAAGGTGTACCATTAAATATGGTTAATTTATTCCAGAAAGTCGAATACCCTCCCCCTCTTCACCCCACGTGAGGGTTTTTCGTCGAACATTGTGGCTTCTGGTTGTCGGCGTGTGTGTGTCGTTCTGTCCGTCCGGACCGACCGCTCACTAAATCCCGGGGATCCGCAAGGCCTAACACTTCGAGATAATGTTGATGCTCCACGATCGAATCGATACCCACCCACCACCGCCGGCTATATGAACCACCCGTCGAGCAGCCGACGTCATGGTCGTCAAAGTACTCATTCATCCGCATGGTCGCCGTGGCAGCCGATGAGCGGGGGGCGGAAAGGGAAGAGAGAAGGAGGCGAAAAGGGGAGCTTAAGGGAGGGGGAGAGAGAAAGTGGGAGGGAACGGAGAGGGGAGGAAGGGAGGGAGAACCTGGCGCTGTCATGCGCCGGAGAGAAGGGTATAAGGGGGGAGGTGAAGGAGGAGAGACTGAGAGAGAACGACCGTTTTCAAGAGTGACGTCTAACGAGGGTGGTCCTAATATTAGTGAAGACCAAACAATGTGTCACCAAGATACGCCTGAATGAATGCACCCCGACTTCAGGAAGTCTTGTAACTCTTACGCTCACAGTATATTCTAGCCATAAGCATTGAGGATCTGCACCTCCCCGTGACGGCGAGCCTATCACATGAAAGGGGATGGCCCGGCCCCCGCCCCCCGGGATTGGTTTAAAAACGTAATAATTTGGCCAACGGCAACCTGACATCGTGATCCAACATGTTCCAGCGCCTTCTGCTCTGCCCTTCTTCAGGAGAACCTCACAGCACTTTGTAGGCGCATTAGATACTTCTGGCGCCATCACGCCCATTCCCAGGTCAGGATGACCAGAGTGCAGAAATCAGAGCTATCCGACTAGAAGGTATCCATTGACATACAAGTTGCTCCGAAGCCAGCNAACGAACTCGAAAAATCGCTTTTTAGAGAATTTTTGCTTTATTCTTGGGTGCTCGGTCCTGTAAGAAGTCCCAAGTAGACTACTCGTGTGGCTTTCTATCCCTACAGATATGGATTCTTTAGAGTGTCTGGCTGGGTTTTTCACATCAATTTTTTTTTTCATTTTGGGTGTACGAAAGTCGACAAGGGGAGACCTAGTTTCTGCATCTGATAATTATCCTGGTAACTGTAACTTTCGAGTCCCCGAATTTTCCATCTGTGGTGGTTCCAAACTTATTGAAGAGTTGAACTGTTGCTCATAAGAGCTTCCCTGATAGGTTAGACTGCGCTAGATGTAACGTGCCAGAGCCCCTAGTGAGTTCAATTTGAGGACTGACTCAAAGTGAAGTAGTTATTTCACTAGTTTTGAGAACTTCATGAAGTTGGGCGTTAGCGTTTTTTTTTGAGTTTATAAATTCAATCAGTACCAGTAAAACCCGAAAATCGCGTATACCATTTGAAAGTGCTTTTTCCGCTCTACAAAACCTACTTTGTCATTTTCTTCAAAATTATATTTGTACTCATATATAATGCTTAGAAGTTGGAAAATCCAGACGGCAGAAATCGGCATTTCGACAGCTGCTATTTTTCAGTTCACATAAGAAAAAAAAACCGTCAAAAACAATGTTTTTCAGAATGATCATGCACGCTTAGTTCTCGCAAGTTACTTTAAAATTACCCAGTGAGGCTGCTATTGTTTTCAGAGAAATTTCTGCAGCAGAGTCATTTTCAGTATGCATTTGAAGCGGAGAAACGAGCTCGCGAGCAGTTTGACGAAGCGAACAATAAGTCCGAGCCCAAACTCGACCAGTCGCAAAAGAATCCCGTCAATGGAGTCGCTGCCTCGGCGTCGCAGACTTCATCAACTACTTCGATCACAAACGTTAGCTTAGTTCATTCTAGCTTAAATATTGTGGTACCTTTCTGTTGTTCTCTTTTGCTTCTTATGGCGTTTCTCATTTCTTTTCCGAATTAATTTTGCCTGCATTTTTCCGAACCACTGTGAGGAACGCTATCGTTTAAGGAACTCCTGTTACCTTGTGCAGCTCCTCCTGCAACGGAGGCTTCCTCGCGAAAGCCTCCGCCTGTACAAAAACCAGTCAGCTTTGAAGAGTTCGAAGGGAGAGGAACAGTTTTTGACGAAGTTGAATGGAGAAGTATTGACGACAAATTAGCGCTGAGTCAAGTGAGTCCCAATTTCCGAAACTTTGAAGAATTGGTTGAATTTCGTCATATCAGTTTTCCTGATGTGGTTGTTTCAGATTCTTGGGAATGTATCTTTGCAAGCTTCCAAATCAGTTGAAAATCCGGTCGCGAATCCTGTCAGTAATAAGAAACCCGACTCGTTAGCGAATGGCACCAAAGCAGTGGCAATTTCGGCCATTCCTCCTTATCCTGTTCTCGAATTCGGGGTTTGTTCGTTGATTATAGGCTGCACTCTTTTGTTCTGATCGTTCTTTCTTAATCATATAGCCTATTGCTCAAACATGATCACAGCGCTTGGATTTACCTCTGTTCCTCATATCGAGTTTTGTACTCTGTCCGCATTTGCGCACTTTTACAAAGCATAATTGCGCTTCGGAAACCGTCATTAGATGCCCTCTTTTGTGATGTGTACTCGCGTTTTGCCTTCTCCTTTTAGCTACTGTGCGGTAATCGTTATCATTTTCACCTGCACGTCTACCTACCGCTTTTGATGGAATTCTAAGTAAAAGAACTGGTTTTTTGATTCTCGAAGATTTTCAACACTATTTTTTGAGCCCTTAATTCCAGCAGCTCTTAATTTGACACGTATTCCCATATTCCCATTCCAATCTTAACGAATTTCTCTTTTCAGAGGTCGAGGTCGGAAGAGCCAGCAGTGATGCTTAACACAACAGGCGAAATGCATACTGCTGTATATACGAAGCCAGTTCATTCAGGTATTCTATGACCCATTGACCACTCACTTTACTTGTTCCGTACATTAGTAAACACTCATAAGGCGAATGAGTGCCATTGAGTGAAGTGTAGTATTTGAAAAGTTCATTTCAAAGTTTTTTCATTTTTAAGCGTCTGTCAAAGAAATGCCATCTGCTCATGTGCATGACTCACCATTACGAGTTCGGTTATTGACAAAAGGTTATCGACCAAATCTAGTCAATGTGGCACTAGAACGGCTACCTAGGGATCGACTACCATATGTGGGTTTGCTGTTAATAGTAAAAATTTTGCATTGCTCTTTTTTCTTTTCCAAAGACTATTTGGCCATAAGGTTATGAACATTTCCAGCACGAGAATAGAACATAGCTGTATTTCCCGGAAATTTATTCTCAAGCTCACCCCTCGCGCTCCTATCGCTTTGACTAAAAAAAACGATAATCTTCTTGGATCACTCCATGCCTTTATTGATCAATTTCTGTGTTGGCATACGGATCACACCGTGCTTTGTAAATACTACCGATCGCATTACGTGATTTACAGACGACCAGGAAATTTTTCAGAGGGAATTTTTCATTTCCTTAAGACAATTACGAAGTACTGTAGTTTCAGGTAGAATATTACATGAAAGGAATGAGTATTCTGGAGAAACGAGGTGTGGAAGTCGAAAAGACCGTGACATTCCTGTTGGATAGCAATTTATCAGAGAAACAGGTATTTTGACAATTTCAACCAGAAATCTGATGATACGCGTAGTTGCATCGTCCGTTCCTTTTAATATCTGAAGAGCTGAATTTGCGCTATTTCTTGCAACAATTTTGTACGTACTTTGACTTGTTTGGGTAATTTCCGTCTTCCCTACGGATTCTAGTGAAATTTATTTGGATGTACGAATCCTGCCTACAGGATGCCTTATTTTGTTTTCACTACGGATTCTAGTGGAATGTAATTGACCGTACGAATCCTGTCCAGAATTACATTTATTTCTCTTTCAATGTTTGTGTAAGCTGCGAATAAGAGTAATTACATATTGCTACGTTCTGGAGTATGGGGGATAGGGAATGACGGAAGTCATACTTACTTGACACTATCCTCCTTTCTGTATACTACCGAGCGGTGTCCTGGTGTAAGCGCATCTTCAGCTCTGATGGATGGGTGCTTTTACGTTAGCTTCACTTGTCCACTAATCCCTCAATAGCAGCGTTTGGATTTTCTTCCATCAGCGTTCACACAACCTTTTTACGAGTCCAACAAGCTCTCTGGAGAAGGTTCATCTTGCAGGTAGTATGTAGTCCTCGTAATGGCTTTTCCGGGACCATCCTTTCCATTAAGTATCATGCCTTCTTTATATATTTAATCGATTTTACTGGACTGTTTCTGCGGCGTTGTTTCTTTTTTGAGCTTTTGAAGCACAGTGTGCTCATTTGTCACTCCAATTTTTTTCTTATTGCTGTAGGAATACGAAGTGAGGTGACGCCTTTAATTCAAATTTTGCCTGAAGGGTTAACTTGTTGAACCCTGCCACAAGGCTTCCGAGTGGAAGCTTATTACCCTGCTTTCTGATGTAGTTCTTGTGAGCATCATAGCATAAAGAACTTACGGAGCAACCCAAAATCCAGCTTTAAAACCCACTGTAGAGATCCTCGTCATGGGAGGCCATCCAACAAGCGTGGCCTCCCATTGGAATAAATCCGCGCTTTTCCTGTGCCTTTCTTACATGTGGATAGGTAATAGCATTTTCCACTGTTAGAAATCTTATTTGAGCGCAGTGTTAGCTTAGAATGCTTCCGCTGTTCGTCGCTCTAACTACTAGTACTGTGAGGCCAATATTAAGGCGTTCATCAGAGAACAGATATGCACAAGAAACTTGTGTGGGTAGAGGGAAGAGCGTTATTCCACCATGGGAAAAAAGACTGTGCGCAACAAACGAGAAATTCTTGGGAACGAAACACAAGTATCATATGCTGTACCTGAGAGAACCATCGACTCACTTCAAATGTTTTTTGGGCTCGGGGTTATGACTTCACTTGGC